TTCATCCTCGACCTGGGCGAGGTGGGTGGGCGCCGCCGGGTGGCCCTGTCACCACTGTCCCTCTCCCTGTCCCTCCAGAGCCTTCTCGCCGGGTGCAGGGCGAAGCACAACGTGTCCTTCTGGGTGTCCATCTGTCCTCTGGGTGTCCATCAGCTCATTGGGGTGTCCCTCTTCACTGGGGCGTCTGTCCATCCGTAGGGCTTGCTGTTTGTCCTTCTGGGTGTCCGTCTGTTGGGGTGTCTGCCTGTCTGCCAAAGTGTCCCTCCATCCATAGGGGTGTCTGCCTGGTTTTCTGGGCATCTATCTGCTGGGATGTCTGTCTGTCCTTCTGAGTGTCAGTCTGTTGGGTTGTTCGTCTGTCCTTCCAGGTGGCCGTCCATCCACTGGGCCATCTGTCTATCCATAGGGGTGTCTATCTGTCTTTAAAGATGTCTGTCTCTTGGGGTTCCCCATCAATCGGTCAGGGTGTCCCCCTATCCATAGGTGTGTTTGATTGTTGGTGTATGTGTCTGTCCATCTGGGTGTCCATCTGTCCATTGGGGCATCCATTTGTCCATCTGGTGTCTGTCTGTCCATCTGGGGGTCCATCTGTTGGGGTGTCCATTTGTCCTTCGGGGCATCTCCCTGGGCCAGCTTCAGCCTCAGCAACTGCTTCATCCTCAACCTGGGTGAGGTGGGTTGGGGGGCCACCATGGTGGCCTGGGGGAGGTGGGATGGCTTCGTCACCACCGTCCCTCTCCCTGTCCCCAGACCCTCTTCGTCTGGTGCGGGGCCAGGTGCAACGTGCTGGAGCGCAGCAGGGCGCAGGAGTTGGCCGCAGCCATCCGGGATGGCGAGCGGGGTGGCAAGGCTCGCCTGGAGATCGTGGTGGACAGCGAAGAACCACCTGAGATGCTCCAGGTGCGCTGGAGCCCCAACATCCCCGCTGGGAGGAGAGGGGGACCCGAGTGTCCCTGGAGGGTGGCTCTGTGACACTTTCTGTGTCTTCACCCGGCAGGTGCTGGGTCCCAAGCCCACCTTGCAGGAGGGCAGCCCCGAGGAGGACATCGTGGCCGATCAGAAAAATGCGGGGGCAGCTGTCCTCTACAAGGCAAGGTCACCTTGGGACACCACAGTGGCCCCAGGGATGGGCATAGCTGAGTGTCACCATGGTGGTCACCAGGCTGGGCATGGCCAGGGGACACCATGGTGACCCTGTTGCTGGACATGGCTGGGCGATGTTGTGATAGCCTCAGTGGGGACCATGGAGCTGGGCATGGCTGGGGACACTGTGGTGGCCCTAGGAGAGACAGATGGAGCTGGGCATAGCTGGGGGACGCCACGGTGGCCCTGGGGGGATACATGAGACTTAGCATGGCCAGGGGACACTGTGGTGACCCTGGGGCAGGTCATGGCCATGGTAGCCCTGGAGTGGAGGGATTTACATGGGGCTGAGAGTGACCAGGGGACGCTGTGGTGATCCTGGGGCTGGGAATGGCTGGGGGATGCTGTGGTGGCCCCAGGGGGGCACATGGAGCAGCCCTAGGACATGGGCATGGCCAAGGGACACCATGGTGAGCCTGGGAGGTCTATGGGGCTGGGCATGGCCAGGGGACACTGTGGTGGCCCTAGGAAAACCACATGGAGCTGTGCATGGCCAGGGGACACGGTGGTGGTCCTGGGAGGTATTTGGGGTTGGGCATGGCCAGGGGACACTGTGGTGGCCCTGGGAGGTACATGGGGCGGGGCATGGCCAGGGGACACTGTGGTGGCCCTAGGAAAACCACATGGAGCTGTGCATGGCTGGGGACACGGTGGTGGCCCCAGGGGTTATATGGGGCTGGGCATGGCCAGGACACAGCGCGGTGGCCCTGGGGCAGGGCACACATGGGGAACGCAGCAGTGGCTGCGCAGGAGGACACAGGGCTGGGCACAGCCGAGGGACCCCAGGGTGGCCCCGCAGTGACGTCCCGTCCATGGGCAGGTGTCAGACGCGACGGGGCGCATGGACCTGAGCCAAGTGTCTGCGAGTAGCCCCTTCAGCCAGAGCCTGCTCTGCTCCGACGACTGCTTCGTGCTGGACAACGGCGC